ACAATGAGATATCATCTCACACCGGTCAGAATGGCCATCATCAAAACATCTAGAAACAATAAATTCTGGAGAGGGTGTGGAGAAAAGGGAACACTCTTGCACTGTTGATGGGAATGTAAATTGATACAGCCACTATGGAGAACAGTATGGAGGTTCCTTAAAAAACTAAAAATAGAACTACCATATGACCCAGCAATCCCACTACTGGGCATATGCCCTGAGAAAACCATAATTCAAAAAGAGTCATGTACCAAAATGTTCACTGAAGCTCTATTTACAATAGCCAGGACGTGGAAACAACCTAAGTGTCCATCAACAGATTAATGGGTAAAGAAGATGTGGCACATATATACAATGGAATATTACTCAGCCATAAAAGGAAACGAAATTGAGATATTTGTAGTGAGGTGGATGGACCTAGAGTCTATCAAACAGAGTGAAGTAAGTCAGAAAGAGAAAAACAAATACTGTATGCTAACACATATATATGGAATCTAAGAAAAAAAAAAAAAAGGCCATGAAGTACATAGGGGTAAGACGGGAATAAAGACACAGACCTACTAGAGCATGGACTTGAGGATATGGGGTGGGGTAAGGGTAAGCTGTGACAAAGTGAGAGAGTGGCATGGACATATATACACCACCAAACGTAAAATAGATAGCTAGTGGGAAGCAGCCACGTAGCACAGGGAGATCAGCTACGTGGTTTGTGACCACCTAGAGGGGTGGGATAAGGTGGGTGGGAGGTAGGGAGATGCAAGAGGGAAGAGATATGGGAACATATGTGTATGTACAACTGATTTACTTTGTTATAAAGCAGAAACTAACACACCATTGTAAAGCAATTATACTCCAATAAAGATGTTAAAAAAATGTTTCTCTTTACACATTTCTCTACTTCTAAAGCTTTTTTGCAATAAACACGTGTTACCTTTAAAAAAAAAAGCAATGAAAAATAAATGAAGGAAACAATAGCCAAGATCAATAAAACTAAAGCTGGTTCTTTGAGAAGATAAACCATTAGCCAGACTCATCAAGAAAAAAAGGGAGAAGACTCAAATTAATAGAATTAGAAAAGAAAAAGGAGAAGTAACAACTGACACTAAAGAAATACAAAGGATCATGAGAGATTGCTACAAGCAACTATATGCCAATAAAATGAACAACCTGGAAGAAATGGAAAAATTCTTAGAAAAGCACAACCTTCTGAGACTGAACCAGGAAGAAATAGAAAATATGAACAGACCAATCACAAGCACTGAAATTGAGACTGTGATTAAAAATCTTCAAGCAAACAAAAGCCCAGGACCAGTTGGCTTCACAGGCGAATTCTATCAAACATTTAGAGAAGATCTAACACCTATCCTTCTCAAACTCTTCGAAAATATAGCAGAAGAAGGAACACTCCCAAACTCATCCTACGAGGCCACCATTGCCCTGATACCAAAACCAGACAAAGATGTCACAAAGAAAGGAAACTACAGGCCAACATCACTGATGAACATAAATGCAAAACTCCTCAACAAAATACTAGCAAACAGAATCCAACACCACATTAAAAGGGTCATACACCGTGAACAAGTGGGGTTTATCCCAGGAATGCAAGGATTTTTCAATATACGCAAAGCAATCAATGTGATAAACCATATTAGCACACTGAAGAAGAAAAACCATATGATCATCTCAACAGATGCAGAAAAAGCTTTTGACAAAATTCAACACCCATCTATGATAAAAACCCTCCAGATAGTAGGCATAGAGGGAACTTACCTCAACATAATAAAGGCCATATATGACAAACCCACAGCCAACATCATTCTCAATGGTGAAAAACTGAAACCATTTCCACTAAGATCAGGAACAAGACAAGGTTGCCCACTCTCACCACTATTATTCAGCATAGTTTTGGAAGCTCTAGCCACAGCAATCAGAGAAGAAAAAGAAATAAAAGGAATCCAAATCGGAAAAGAAGAAGTAAAGCTGTCACTGTTTGCAGATGACATGATAATATACATAGCGAATCCTAAAGATGCTACCAGAAAACTACTAGAGCTAATCAATGAATTTGGCAAAGTAGCAGGATACAAAATTAATGCACAGAAATCTCTGGCATTCCTATACACTAATGATGAAAAATCTGAAAGAGAAATTAAGGAAACACTGTCATTTACCACTGCAACAAAAAGAATAAAATAACTAGGAGTAAACCTACCTAAGAAGACAAAAGACCTGTATGCAGAAAACTATAAGACACTGATGAAAGAAATTAAAGATGATACAAACAGATGGAGAGATATACTATGTTCTTGGATTGGAAGAATCAACATTGTGAAAATGACTATGCTACCCCAAACAATGTACAGATTCATTGCAATCCCTATCAAACTACCACTGGCATTTTTCACAGAACTAGAACAAAAAATTTCACAATTTGTATGGAAACACCAAAGACCCCAAATAGCCAAAGCAAGCTTGAGAAAGAAAAACGGAGCTGGAGGAATCAGGCTCCCTGACTTCAGACTATACTACAAAGCTACAGTAATCAAGACAGTATGGTACTGGCACAAAAACAGAAATATAGATCAATCAATGGAAGAGGATAGAAAGCCCAGAGATAAACCCACACACATATGGTCACCTTATTTTTGATAAAGGAGGCAAGAATATACAATGGAGAAAAGACAGTCTCTTCAATAAGTGGTGCCAGAAAAACTGGACTACATGTAAAAGAATGAAATTAGAACACTCCCTAACACCATACACAGAAATAAGCTCAAAATGGATTAAAGACCTAAATGTAAGGCCAGACACTATCAAACTCTTAGAGGAAAACACAGGCAGAACACTCTATGACATAAATCACAGCAGGATCCTTTCTGACCCACCTCCCAGAGGAATGGAAATAAAAACAAAAATAAGCAAATGGGACCTAATGAAACTTAAAAGCTTTTGCACAGTAAAGGAAACCATAAACAAGACAAAAAGACAACCCTCAGAATGGGAGAAAATATTTGCAAATGAAGCAACTGACAAAGGATCAATCTCCAAAATTTACAAGCAACTCATGCAGCTCAATATCAAAAAAACAAACAACCCAATTTACAAATGGGCAGAAGACCTAAAGAGATATTTCTCCAAAGAAGATATAGAGCTTGCCAACAAACACATGTAAGAATGCTCAACATCACTAATCATTAGAGAAATGCAAATCAAAACTACAATGAGGTATCACCTCACACCAGTCAGAATGGCCATCATCAAAAAATCTACAAACAATAAATGCTGGAGACGGTGTGGAGAAAGGGGAACCCTCCTGCACTGTTGGTGGGAATGTAAGTTGATACACCCACTATGGAGAACAGTGTGGAGGTTCCTTAAAAAACTAAAAATAGAGCTACCATACGACCCAGCAATCCCACTACTGGGCATATCCCCTTAGAAAACCATAATTCAAAAAGAGTCATGTACCACAATGTTCATTGCAGCTCTGTTTACAATAGCCAGGACATGGAAGCAACCTAAGTGTCCATCGACAGATGAATGGATAAAGAAGACGTGGCACATATATACAATGGAATATTACTCAGCCATAAAACGAAACGAATTCATTTATTTGTAGTGAGGTGGATGGACCTAGACTCTGTCATACAGAGTGAAGTAAGTCAGAAAGGGAAAAATAAATACCATATGCTAACACATATATATGGAATCTTAAAAAAAAGGTTCTGAAGAACCTAGGGGAAGGACAGGAATAAAGATGCAGACATAGAGAATGGACTTGAGGACATGGGGAGGGGGAAGGGTAAGCTGGGATGACGTGAGAGAGTGGTTTGGACATATACACATTACCAAACGTAAAATAGATAGCTAGTGGGAAGCAGCCACATAGCACAGGGAGATCAGCTTGGTGCTTTGTGACCATGTAGAGGGGTGGGGTAGGGTGGGTGGGAGGGAGACGCAAGAGGGAGGGGGTATGGGGATATATGTATATGTATGGCTGATTCACTTTGTTATAAAGCAGAAACTAACACACCATTGTAAAGCAATTATACTCCAATAAAGATGTTTTTTTAAAAATTGTTAAAATTAAAAAAAATCTTCCGCGTCATCCCTTAACTCCTCCTTTGCATCTGTTGCCTCTGTTCCCTGTCCATTTCACCTCCTGAGTCTCATGTCCCTTTCCTGCTCTCACCCCCTCTGCCAGCCCCCATCCACTTTCCCGCAGTGCATGGCTGACATCCTTCTAACTGTTCTCTCTCCCTCCACTTCGTCCTCCTCACAACCACCAACATCTTGCTAACCTGAAATCAGATACACTGTGGATAGGATGGCTTCTCAATGCCTCCAGAAAAATATCCAGTCCAGCCCCAGCCTACATTTCCAGCCCCTCTTCCAGACGTTTCCTGCTTAGTGTGTCCAGCCGCACCGTGCCGCTCTCAGAGCCCTGGAGTCCACAGCAGCTCTGTCTCCAGTACCCTGCCTGGGGTGCCCTTTCCCCTCTTATCCGGTTAATTCCTAAGCCTCCTTTTAAGACCTCAATCAAATGCTCACTCTTTAGTGAGGGCATCCTACCCTCCCTTCTTTCCCTTCTGCCCCCCAGCGCAGTCTGATCTACACTGGTTCCAGCATTTGTCACTCTGTACTGTAGCTATATCCCCTTGCTCCCACGCAGCCCTGGATCCTGGCCCATAGGAAGTACCCAATAAATGTACAAATACTTGTTGACTGAATGAATGACCTAGCCATAAATCTCCCTTTCAAATTGGGACAACCAGAAAGCAGCATCCTTCTCCCTGACTGGACCTCAGGGCAGGGGCATGTGCGGTTCACCTGGCTTCCTTCATTCAGGTTGGCTGGTGTGTGTTGATCATGCTCAAGCTTGAGGCTCTGCACACCGATAGACGCTTGCAAACGGGAGACGTTTGTGCAGACCCCATCGTGCAGCTGAGCCCCTTCAGGCCTCTCACTGTCATCACCCTGACCCTCTGGTCTCCTGGCAGGTGTGTTCTTCACTTTCCACACCTTCCACCTGGAGAGCAGCCACGACTACCTCCTCATCACGGAGAATGGCAGCTTCACTCAGCCCCTGAGGCAGCTGACCGGTTCCCGGTTGCCAGCGCCCATCAGCGCTGGACTCTACGGCAACTTCACTGCCCAGGTCCGCTTCATTTCCGACTTCTCCATGTCCTACGAAGGCTTCAACATCACCTTCTCAGGTAAAGCATGTGAGGGTCCCTCGGGGTAAGTGATGGCTGAGCACTCTGTCCCTCCCACCCCCCACCCTGCTGCCGGCCTCTGGTCTTCCCAGCAGATGGCTATCGGTCCCCTCCCCAGCCTCTGGGAGAGGGACCTCACTGCTGCAGCAGAACTTCCTTAGAGTGGGCTTGGAAGGAATTAGCAGGTCTGTTGGGGAATCTCCTTCTGTGAAGGTATTTAGGCTTCACTCTGAACATGACCAACCCAACTGATTGAACTAGAGGACCTCAGGAGTCCCATCCTGCCCTAGTAATTCCAGATTCTTCTTCTGATTCCACTTGCACTACTTCACAACCACAGCAATTGCTAAAAAAAAAAAATCGAAAAGAAAAAGAAGGGAGACTGAAATTCACATTTTGGAGTGTTTTGGTCTCATGTGGGGGCTGCTTCACCAATGCTAATTGAGTAGCGATAGATATTTATCTTTGTGTTTAGGAATCCTGAAAAGAAAGCTCTTTAATGTGCATTCAGGGAGAAAAGAGGACCCTTCACTCCTCTAGTACCAAGTCCTCCTGCTGCTCTCAGACTATTGCTCCCAGACCACCCCCTCCCACCACCAGCCAGGAGCAGAGACAGCAGGTGGATTTCCCCAGGATGGCTGAGAGATATCTGACCTCTAGGAAATGGGACATGGCTGAGCTCAGCCTCACAGTGTCCCTCCAGCAGATGCCACCTGCCATGTCCTGGCTGATGGGACATATCCAGCCAGTCTGCCTCACCCAGCCTCTTTCTCCCCACCACACAGAGCCCCGGGCTACTGTGTCCCAGAAGGGAGATGCCCTTGGGGATGAGGGAAAAGGTACTTCTATATCATCACTAGAGGTATATAAGTCACTAGAGGCAGGTCCCTGGTGCATAGATGCCATCTGCCTCAAGTGCCAGTGTTACCAAGACACAGCTTCAGCTGAAGCACTTGGATTCTTTTTCCCAATATAAGTTGCCCTAGGCTGGGTCATGCATTGTGAACCTCTAGAACCAGGCTGATTGAACTGATCTGGCTTGGTGCCCGGGGAGAAAGAGACAGGAGAGTCCACAAGCCTGAGGCTGGGGTTCATGTGGAGATGAAGGGACAGAGGAGGGAAGGGTCAGCCTCAGAAGTACTCCTGGGAAGCATGTTTCCAGGAAGGCGGTGCTCTCTCCCACTGCTTGTGGTCTGGAGGCACTCAGACCACCCAGAACACACCTGCCTGTTCTCGCCTGTCCCTGTCCCTCTCGGGCTCTCTCTCCTCTCCTTACTTTTCGTGCATCGGTGTGTATCGTGTACCTCTGTCTTCCTCTCTCGTCCTCTTCTCCGTGGTGTCTTTGTCTGTGTGTTCCCATCCCCTGTGTGTGACCCCAGCTCTCCTGCTGCCTTTCCAGAGTATGACTTGGAGCCCTGTGAGGAGCCTGAGGTCCCAGCCTACAGCATCCGGAAGGGCTTGCAGTTTGGTGTAGGTGACACCTTGACCTTCTCCTGCTTCCCCGGGTACCGTCTGGAGGGCACGGCCCGCATCACGTGCCTGGGGGGCAGACGGCGCCTGTGGAGCTCGCCTCTGCCAAGGTGTGTTGGTAGGTGGTCACGTGCTTTCATTTTGCTTCACTAATGGGGTTGGCCGGACTTTAGTCAATTGCTGGGAGGTGGTGGAACGCACCTGGGCCAAGAGGCCGACAGGACTGGGTTTAAGGACTGTCTTAGCACACGGTTACCTTGGGTGGGTGGCCTAGCCTCCTTCCACGCCAACCTCCTTATCGGTACAGGAGAGATGGCAATGCCTGCTTCATGAGCTGTTCTGTAGCCTCAACTGACCTTTACAAAGCGGGTCCACAGTAGGCACTCGGATGAAATCAATTTCTATGCTGTTACCTCCCACCCTTAGCACACATTCCCATGGCTAATTGATGCCTCTTGTGGAGAAATCTGGGTGGGGAGTGTGGGTGCACCTATAGGAAGGAGGTATGACCTTTGCCCATGGAGAATCCCCATCTGGTTGAGGAGAGGGCTGATTTTACTTGTCCAATGAGGGTCCGATAGCTTTTGAGAATCTCTAGAAAGACTCCCTCCGTTCCGCTGGGGAAGAGAGAGAGAAGCAGGAGTTGGGTTCATTTATGGAGCACCCATTGCAGGTCAGGCATGCTTCTGGATGCTGAGAATACAAAGGTGGACAATACAGAGAAGGTCTCTCCACTCCTGGTCTCACATTCTGGTGGGGGGAGATAGGCCGTAAACGCATGGATGTGTAGTGTGTCGGGCAGTGTTGTGGGTTACAGAGAAAGATGGTCAGCTTAGAAAGTGCTGGAGGTTTTTATAACAAGTAGTCAGGAAAGACTTCTCTGATGAGCTGACATTTTAGTAGAGATCTGAAGGGATTCAAGGAGCTAATTCATGGGAGAAGAGGGAGCAGAGTACCAAGGCCCCAAGCCACGAGGATGCTCGGTGTTTGAGCAATAGCTTGGAGGCCAGTCTGGAGCGAGCGAGGGGGAGAGCAGTGGGTGGTGAGGTTAAAGAGGTAGCTGATGGAGTTGGGACCAGGAGCCCAAGTGACCCAAGGTCCTGCCGGCCTCCTTGCCAGCGTGCTAGAGCAGACTTTTCAGAGCTTCAGGCCCAGAGGGTGGAGAGAAGTGGGGTGATATCCCAAGGACTGGGGACAGTTGCTGGCTGTCCCTCATTTATAAGGTTCACAGCTCTGCTTGCTCGATGCTCACACCATGGGGCTAGATGGAACACAGGCTGGATCAGTGGGGTACCTCCCGTGCTCACTGCTATCCGCTAGTGCTAAATATTACAGAAAACCCCAATATACCAAACAGATCAAAGCAGCACTGCACTGACTGAAACAGGTGCCTGCGTCTTGAGAGCCCTTGAGGTCAGCCTTGCCCAAGACAACCGCACGGAGCCCTGGGGCTCTGCAGAAGACAGTCGTAAATAGGATGGCAAGATGGGCTGGGATCAGGCTGTGGGGTCACCTGGGCCCAAGGGTGAGTCTCTGCTCTGCCACTTACCAGCTGTTAGATCTTGGGCAAGCCACCAGACCCCGGCAACTCCAGCTTCCTCGCTTATAAAACAGAGATAACAATATCCAATTCACAGGCTTTATTCCAGATTAGATGACGTAATTTACATACACCAATGGGGTGCCATATTATTATCATTTTGCCAATAACCTTTTTATCATTATTTATCGATGACATGACCAACAACCAATAACCCTTTACGATCTCAGAGGGGAAACATTAAGACAAATAGATGCAGAATTCCATTTTTGATCAATTAACTAATCTCAAAGTTTATCCTTTTTCCTGCAACCATCCCCCAGAGCATCCACCCACCCTGACCTGGACACACACTCAGACACACATGTAACTCCCACTGTGTAGGTTCAGTTTCGATGTGGCTGCTAGCAGCTCCTTTCTGCTCTGGAGAAATGTCTTCAGCTAAGTGGCTCTGAGGGGAATTTTTCCTGAATGGGATTATCCAGGACCACAGATACACGCCCTAAGTTCTGCCTCATTGAACTCATTACATAAACTCATTCTTTAACTTATTATTCCAATTACTGTTTGTTCATGGCGCTCACAATATTTTCGTTATTACATTTGTCTTCTGTTTTGTATGTATTCATAACGCATAGCAATTATAATCACCTCTAATTACCACCAGCCCACAGCAGAACCTCAGGCTGGAGTTATCACGGGAATGCCCACCCGGGAGATGCTCCCAGTCGCCGTACGCACTGGAGGTGTAAATTGAATAACTTACCAGGAACATTCCCTGCTGAGAAGGAGATGAACAGTCCTGGGCTCTAATTCATTGTGTGACAGGGTGACACAGCCCCTGACCTCAGGGTCCCCTGAGCTGGATGTGGAAGAGACAGCCCTGATCCCAGAGGACCCCATTCTGCACCAAGAGTCATGACCCTGCCCTTGGGAGCCCCGCATGATGGAGCAGACCTACCTCTCTGCCTCGGGAGCCCCAGACTGATGGACAAGACACAGCCCCTGCCCTTAACGAGACGTCTTCTGATGGGGATGACAGAAGTCGTAGATGCCTGAATTAGCCGCAGCACTTTCCAGTGCAGATGACTGTTTGTTTCTCTGGAACATTTATTTGTTTCCATTTATGCTTGTGTTTGGCTTTTCCGTGCATCTGCTCACCTCCCGTGATACTTTGGAAACTCTCCCAAAAGCAAGTGCCAGGTCCCGCTACCTCCTGTACACTCCCTGGTGCCCTGGAAAAAGGCCTCATTAGGGGCCAAGGACTGGCCCCTTCTGAAACTGTCAGCCCCCTTCCCCTCCCCATAAAGGTGTTGGGCATGTGGGAAAGAGGAGAGGGTCATGCTGGGGCAGAGATGGCATATAGCTATTGTGCAGCAAGCCAGGGTAGGAAGGAGATGCAAAAATATGTCAAAGCCCACGTTTAAGGTAAACCACCTTTTAGGAACTAGGCAGAGAGCAAGAGGTATCAGGAACAGTGAGGGCGCTGTGAATGTCAGGCAGCTAACACATGCTTCCCGAGAAGCTTCTTGGGCCTTCGGCCATTCCCGGAGCCTGGGCAGTTAGGGCTCCAAATAGAAGCAGATAAGCTGCGTAGATTCATCAGGTTAGATGGGGAGAGAAAGGAATAATGCTTGTTGAGGGCCTACTAGGTGCTAGCCACTCCCTATATGTTCACCTCTTTCATCATAAAATTTCATATATGTATTCTCTCTAGTTTTATGTGGGTGCTGTTATTGTCCAGATGGAGGCAGATGAAGAGACCGAGGTTCAGAGAGTTGATATAACTGGTCTGTCTGAGTCTAAAATCCATGCTCATCCCACTGCACCACATGTCGTTCCCTAGACGGAAGAGAATACTGTGTGATGCCCAGGGATGATGGAGAGCTGCTTCAGAGGGCTGCCCACGTGATGTGACTGAGTAATAAATGTCTAAATATGCACAGCCCTCAGCACCCCCTCCCCAAATGCCCACCTTCATCAGAGGGCACCCAGAATACTTACACACTTTAGAAACATATCTACCTAAAGTATCAGCAGCCACCAGGGTGCCCGTCCACCACCCGCCCTTTAGTTTTATGCCCCAGCTCTGCACATTCATTATGCGCGTTCGGGCACTCTGCAAACAGGCTGAGTTTAAAGTACTGAAAAACGAGATTTCTCCTCCAGGACAAATGATGGCTGTCCTGTTCAGTTTGAGCTGCTATAAGAAAATACCATAAAGTGGGTGGCTTCAACAACAAGCATTTATTTCTCACAGTTCCGGAGGCTGGCAAGTCCAAGATCAAGGTGCCAGTGGATTCAGTGTCTGGTAAAGGCCCTCTCCCTGGTTTCCAGATGGCAGCCTTCTTGCTGTACCATCACACAGCAGACAGATTGCAGGCTCTGGTCAATTCCTCTGATAAGGGCACTAATCCCATCATGGGGACTCTCCCCTCATGACCTCATCTAGACTTAATTACCTCCCAAAGGCCCCACCTCCAAATAGCATCACACTGGGGAATCAGGGCTTCAGCATAAGAATTTGTCAGAGGGACACAAACATGCTGTCCATAGTAATGACTTATGTGACGTCTTAGGAACCTGAAGCTGGTCCTGAACTGGAAAGGGCCCAGGGAGGAGGGCTTGTCCCACCAATCAGAGGACTGATTGGTGGGACGTGGTCACTATCTTCAAAGTTCTAAGGAGCAGCCTTGGGGGCAAGAGAACACACAGAGGTACAACTAAGCCCACTAGAGACTCAGCTCTGAGTGTTCCTGTATCACATGCTCCCTCCACACTGCTGTGGCCTAGGACACTCCAGGCTCAGGGCAATTAAAGTTGAATATGTGGTGACCTCAGGGTCCTTCCAGCCAATGACTGTGCCTAGAATAGGGACACTGAGGAATGGTTCGGGGAAAGCAGATGTGCTACCACCAACCTCAGAGATTCTACATATGCTCCGAACTCCCCATATGTCCAGACAAATAATGGGCCTGCCATCTGACTTGTATTTATATCCTTCCAGAACCTAATCATTTTTAGAGCTGGCCATCCTCTGAGGTCAGTGTCCTCCATATTTATTCATTCATTCATTTGGCAAATATTTATTTTACAGACAATCTGGACTAAGCCTTGGAAATTCATGGATTCGTTAAGCATGACCCTTACCTTCAAGTAACGCACAGTTTGGGTAGGGGGTGCAGACAAGAAATAAGCCATCAGGGTGCGATCTGGTAGACGCTCTGCCACAGGGAAGCCCAGGAAGAGGCTTCACAATTATCAAAGACCCTAGAGAGCCAACTGCAGGGTCCTTCAGCACATGCCCTGCACTGAGCTACCCCTTTCATCCCTGCTGCTGTCCTGCCCAGGCATGGAGCAGAGCCAGTGGGTGCTGGAGATACAGAAATATGACCAAGCCCTAAAGCACCTACAGGGCAGTGGAGGAGACAGAAATGTTAACAAATAAGTCAAGTAAAATGTGATGACCGGGATTCCCTGGTGCCGCAGTGGCTGAGAGTCTGCCTGCCGATGCAGGGGACGCGGGTTCGTGCCCCGGTCCGGGAAGATCCCACATGCCGCGGAGCGGCTGGGCCCGTGAGCCACGGCCTCTGAGCCTGCGCGTCCGGAGCCTGTGCTCCGCAACGGGAGAGGCCGCAACACTGAGAGGCCCGCATACCACACACACACACAAAAAAAAAAATTGTGATGACTGCTATAAATAGAGGTATAGGAACAATGGGGAAAGAATGACTAATTCTGGAGGAGCAGGAACAGATTTTGAGAGGAAGGTGTGAATTCATTAGCTGTTGAATTAAACAGGGTTTCCATGTGTCTGTGCCAAAACTTTCTTCAGAGCCTCAGAGGCCCTAAATTCCAGGACCAAGAGGGCTGAGTTGTCAGCCCCCTCCTCTCCTTGAATTGAGAGACTTGATCTAAATTGCTAAGTACCAGGGTCTTTATCTTGAAAACAGGGATGATAATTGTGCCTGCCTTATGGGGATCGGTTGCTGTGACTAATGGCTGAAATGATCCTTGTAAAGCTTGGAAGATGCTAGCAATTATTATTCAATCTTGTCCCCTCTTCGTTTGTATCCTCTGATACTGAAAGGCTTCATCCCTCCTCACTTGGCTGCCCGCATCGTCCCCTGACGCCCTCCTTGGTCATTTCTGTTGCTATGATACGATATGAACAGGTGGGAGGGAGAATGGCTGCTTCATAACACTGTAAAAGTAAAGGGTGCCTGGTGGGTTTATTTCTATTTCTGCGGAAGAAAAACAGACAAATCGAAGGAGAGAAATAAAGGAACGTAACAGAACTACAGGTGGGCAGGTGTTAAAAACAAACAAACAAACAAAAACTTTGATAAGCATTCCTATAGACAGGCAGACAAATGGACAGATAAACAGGCACTCTGGCAGGTAGAGAGGCAAGCAATTTGTCATCTTTGTAAGGTACTCGAGCGCTGTGAGTTGTTTTCCAGATGTAGCTGATGGGTGTTAATCTGTGATTATTGTGATTCTCTTTCCAGCTGAGTGTGGGAATTCAGTCACGGGCACTCAGGGCACTCTGCTGTCCCCCAACTTTCCTGTGAACTACAGTAACAACCACGAATGCATCTACTCCATCCAGACCCAGCCGGGGAAGGGGATTCAGCTCAAAGCCAGGGCGTTTGAACTCTCTGAAGGAGATGTCCTCAAGGTAACACTGATAGATTTCATAGAGTATGTATGTTACGGGATGCAAAAGTATGGTCACCACACTCATTTATCTCTATGTGAATGACCCAACCTTTCTTCTTCCCTCCTGAGTCCCAAGATGTCCTCACTCATCTGGGAGAAGTGAGAATCTAAGAGAGAAGGGTAGGCGAGTGTATTCTAAAGAATGTGGCTTTAGAGTTTCTTAGGAGCTGACTGCTCTCAAATATGTATGTGATTGAGTAGGGGTTGTCTGGATAGTAAATCACCATAATAAACTCAGTTGGAGTGGCTAGTGGATCAGGTTTTCCATTGTGAACTCTGACCATCAACCTAAATGAGGAAGAGTTCATAGAATATGTGCATTTGTGTAGATATGTGTGGCTACAGATATGTTTATATGTATGTTTCCACATGTGTGTGCATCTGTGTCTGTGTCTGTATTTGGTTTGGGTGATCTGTGTCTGTACATACTTGTGTTCTGTGTATGTGCATTTGTGTATGTTTTGAGTTTATGTTTCAGTGACCGGTGGGCTAGTTCAGTAGCTTCAGTGTACCATGGTGATGGCCTGCATGTAGCAGTGGGGTTGAAGAAAGTGGATTCAAGATCTACGTAAGAGGGCTTCCCTGGTGGCGCAGTGGTTGGGAGTCCGCCTGCCGATGCAGGGGACACGGATTCGTGCTCCGATCCGGGAAGATCCCACATGCTGTGGAGCGGCTGGGCCCGTGAGCCATGGCCGCTGGGCCTGCACGTCCGGAGCCTGTGCTCCACAACGGGAGAGGCCACAACAGTGAGAGGCCCGCGTACCAAAAAATAAATAAATAAATAAAAAGATCTACATAAGAGAAAGAAGTGAAAGGACTTGGACTAAAGAAAGGGTTATAGAGAGGGACTTGTTAAGACATTGAACACACTATGACTGTGTTTGTGTGTGAGATTTGTACCTCCAATAACACATCGTGAGTGTGTAATCAAAGAGTTGACTCTGGAGAACTTATCAAAGAGCTGCCTTATTTAAAAGGATTATAAGGAGAATCTCATACTGAGTAGGTCCATTTTCATCCTAGGCCAAGAAACTTTTTTATCTTATTCTAATATAGTTTTATTCCCTGTAGCCAGAGAAGTCTAGACATTAGAAACAACCAAAAGTCACCACTCTAGAAAATCCAAAGAGAAACCATTAAATAATCCCCATCCATTAGGACTCTGTAGATATGATGAGTATGCTGTGCTTTTTATGCAAAGATGATGCTCTTGACCCACCCTCTGGGGCGTGTGTGTGTGTTTGGAAGGCATTTCTCACTCTTACCTAATTACTCTTGAACCCAAGAGGAAGTACCATGAGATGACCAGTTGGGACCGGATATGCCTGAAACAGAACAGAATATGGCAAAGTGGCCCAGGAGGGAGTGGGTTCCTGTCTGGCTCCTTAAGCTCTACTTTTCAACCTCTAAGCTCCCCATACAGAGAAATGCAGTGTGCATCTCCCTATAAGTGAACAATAGACAGGACTTTATACTTTCCAATGGCCATGTCTTCAGGCGTCTCCCTTGACCTCAGTTCTCTCCATCCATTTGTTCATCATCAACAACAGAGCCTCAGAGGACACACCCAGGGCCAACACGGCCAGAGGGACTTCCGTGCTCTAGTGCTGCAGGTGGAATTGAGGAAAGCTGGACAATGCAGAGACATTCTTGGAGGAAGGATGCTGTTAACCCTGCAGAAAAAGTTATTTTGGAGACACCGTTTTCGGGTTTTGAGGGGAGTGTGTGCAGTTCTGTGCATGTGGCCTGATGGGACCAGCAGAAGGCCTCCTGCCTTGGTTGCTAGAGGCCACATGGAATGTGGCTGGTGCCCAAGCGTCCTCTCTAGGGTGGCCTGGACTCAGAGTAGCACCTAAGACATAGTCAGCAGGTGTGCATACCCCACTGCACTATCAAGGTTCTGCCTCAGGGTTGAGTGAGCAGCTTAACAGACAGAAGAGAGACTTTTGGAGGCGCTCAGGGTAAGAAGGGAGGGACCTGGGGCATCATCCCCAGGTCAGAGGTCAGGGAGGGCTCAGCCAGGGATCAGGACCTCAGGTGACCCTTCAGGGCTGTAGGGAGAGGGAGATGATTTCCTGTGTTTCTTTGAGGGATCTTCCCAGACTTCAGACTTGGTCTCTGCAGCCGCCTGCCCGACTGGCCCTGCTACCAGCCTTCGAACACTGGGCTCCACCTTCTTGCCGAAAAGCCTCTTCCTCCCTTTCTAGGCCTCTGTAGTGTCCTCCTCAGAAGGTTGGGCTGTGGTGCTGACCTGGGCGAAAGGCCATCCACACGATCCTGTAACCACCAGAGCTTCCATAGTAGGGGGTCTGGGGAAGGGAGGGCAAGGCATCCAGGGAGATCACGTAGTTTCCTGTTCTAACTCTTCCCCTCAGGACCCTTGCCCTCCCGAGGGAGAACCTGGGACACGAATTATTTTGGAGTGAAAAGAAATGCACGGTTATAGTTTCCACCCTGCAACCACTGTCAGCTGCAGTGGCAATGCTCTTTACACCTGTCACTCTGATCTACCGTGACACAAAGAAGGTGGCACCCAGAGTCACCTCCAGGAGCACCCTGCCCTTGCCCTGGTGTAACTGGCCCATCTGCCAGAACACTGATGTATTTCCAATCCTGAGGATGTACCTGTCCCTCCCAAGAACCCCAGTGCATACCTGGACTCCTTCCTGCCCAGCAAGACCCGCCACTTCCTCCACACTTGCGTCTGACCAACCCTCCAAACCTTCCATACACTCTTGGATTTCTGACCCATGAAATGACTGTTTTCTTGCATTTGTGACTCTCAATCTTTTCCTTATATTTAATAACTGAAAATTTCTTAGACCTCACCCCTACACATACTCCAGCTTATCTCCTAGAACTACCTGATTTCTTCTGTTTTGGCCTCCACCAAAATTTCGACCTCTGTCATCTGCAAGACAGAAAGTCCTCTAAATGCAATAGTGTGGAAAGACAACAGCTCCCAGCTCAAGATGGCACACGAAGCCCATGTATATAACTACATCCTCTACGGTTCCCATGGAAATGACTAAAGGGACATGAAAATGGGAAATTAGGCAAGGGTGCCTTTCACATACGACTTAAAGGAATATTTGCCAAATGGAATACCCCCCAAAAGGGGTCCATTTTGAGAAAGAGCCTAATCAAAGTGTAATTCACATAAGTGAATTGAAATCCTGCCAGTGGATTAAGTGCTAGAAACCTCAAGGAAAGAATGCATCTAAGACCACCTAGCTCAGAGCAGCAGAGCCTGGAGCCAAGGACACACCATGGGGCTGTTGGTAGGGGCCGGATCTCAATCCAGCTAGCTCTTCTGGAAGCGTACAGGGTCTGAGAAACCACACAGAGCCACAGTTCCCTCTCAACATGACTTTCCGGATTCTGTTTGGCTGTTGTTGGCAAGCTGGATAAAGCAGAGTAATGCCATGGCTGGCACCTAACAAGAGTGGGCAAGCTCATTTGAGAAGAGGCTGCCACAATCATACACACACACACATGCACATGTATACACACATACGCATATACGCACTCTCCCTCACACACACATGCTTTAGTACCAGGAGCAGGAGAAGCTCCTACTATGGCCTCTTCTGGCTTAACTCTTCTGCTCCCCCTTAGGGGAGCTACTGGGTCTTTCCATTATCCATTTTTATTTTCCATCTGTCATGGTGTGCCAACCGGAAAATGAACTGGATATGTGTGAATATTCAGTAGATCAGAAGAAGGGGACCTGTCTGAGGAGTCAGAGTTAATTGCCCCTCTGCAAGCAACAAAGAAAAAAAACACTTTAAAAACTTCTAATTTGTATTCTTAACAGGATTTGAGAGAATATTATATTTACGACACAAAAATAGGCAATAATGAAAACAGAGCAATCTGAGATGAGGAAAGACTGAAGAGATGAAAAACATAATCACCCAATTAAAAAGTGGAATGGAGGCAATGGACAGAAGATGGTAAACCACAGAAAAATGAAATCACTTTATTATAAGATAAATGTGAGAACTTCTCTCACATCTCATAATGAAATGAAAAAGAGAATTCTTTTATATTAATAAAGTGCACAATCAATTCACAGTAAAACTGTATGTGCCAAATAACATAGCATGAATAAATTAAATAAAAATTGCTAGAAATGTAAAAAACTTTAATAAAGTCACAGTCATCATGGAAGATTTAATATACCTCTGTTAATCTCTGACGTATCACCTAGGTTAAAAATAAATAAGGATTTAGGTAGCTTGAATAATATAACAGAATAAATCCAAAGAGAGTGGAAGAAATACTTTTAAAGATAAAAGCAAAAGTGACTGAAAAAAATAAACTTAAAAAATAGCAATATCAACAAAACCAACTGGTTCTTTGAAAAATAGTAAAACAGACAAAATTTACAGGACTGATCAAGGACTAACGAAGCCACAAATATATAATTTTAAGAATGAAAAAGGAACATAGTCATAGATAAGGTAGAGATTATGAAAACAGTAAGAAAATGTTTAGGAAAAAGCATAAGACAAAAAATCGGAAAGCTTAAATGAAATGGAAATTTTTATAGATAATAAGTACTAATATCAAGAAAAAAATACAAATCTGAATAAACCAATAACCATTTAAAACATTGGAATTCTCCCGTATTCTCTCTCAAAGTCCCCAGACCTAGCCTATTTTACAGGTAAACTCACAAAACTTCAAGAAACAATTAATCCCTGCAATAATCAAACTGTGTCAGAAAAGAGAAAAATTAGTATCCATCTCCCCACTCACTTTATGTAAATAGGACAAGTAGAAATATTGATATCAAACTGAATAAGGGCAGCATAAAATATTAGGCCAGTTTCACTTATGACCATAGATCTAAAAATCCTAAATACAGGGCTTCCCTGGTGGCACAGTGGTTGAGAGTCCACCTGCCGATGCAGGGGACACAGGTTCGTGCCCCGGTCTGGGAAGATCCCACATGCCGCGGAGCGGCTGCACCCGTGAGCCATGGCCGCTGAGCCTGCGTGTCCGGAGCCTGTGCTCTGCAACGGGAGAGGCCACAGCAGTGAGAAGCCCCCGTACCGCAACAACAACAACAAAAAATCCTAAATACAGTATCATGTTGAATCTAGCTGTGCATTAAAACAAAAATGACCAATAGGATGGATTCCAGGAAGGTAAGGATGTGTCAACATTACAAAATCTCCTAATTGTCTTTATTGGGCAACCCATATGAAATTGTCATTTTTGTAGGTCAAGAGCGGTCCAATATCAGCAATTTCATCCTATAAACAGATTAGGAGAGAAAAATACATGATCCTGCCAAAGTGTCCCGAAACATCATGTGATGAAACTCAGTACTGATTCATGATTTTTAAAAATATCTGATAAAGCTATGGACAGAACTTTCTTAATCTAATAAAAATTTTCTACCAACACGTATAGCAAACATTATACTTAATGACAAAACTTCCTAAGGATTCCCAGTAAAGTCAGGAACAACACCAGTTCTGCTACCACCAATAGTATTCAGATCCAAGCCACTGCAATTATACAAGGAAAAGAACAAAGAAACTACAACAGTTAGAAGGGAATATCCAAGTTGTCTCTTATTTGGAAAATATAAAACAACCAGCTGATAACCTATCAGACCAATAAGACAGTTTAGCAAAGCTGCTGGTGTTTCTACAACCAATTCAAACATGTATTCAGAGGTGGGGAGAAGGTCTCATAATAGAAACAAAAACTATAAGACACCTAGGAATAAGCCTAACGAAAATGTGTATAATCTTTACTGAGGAAATTATAAAACTTTATACTAAAGGACATAAAACTAAAATAAATGCAGGGAGGTTTCATATTCAGGGCTGAGCAAAGGCTATGAATAGGCAATTCACAGAATAGGAAAGTAGAATTGATAAACATACAAAAAGATATTCCACTTCAGTGATAACCAGGGACATACAAATTCAAATGGGATACCATTTCACACCCATCATATTGGAAAATTTTAGAGTGCCTGAAAATATCAAGTGTTGGTGAAGATATAAAGCAATGAAAGCTGTCATACGTTGCTAGTGAGAGATTAAATTGGTATTACCCTTTGGAGAGCAGTCTGACAACATCTAACAAAGTTGAAGATGTGCCTTCCATGTGCAACCTGCTTCTCTTCGCTGTTTTAGTTCTAGATATATGCCCTAGAGAAACTTGAGCACCTGTGTGTAAGCAGACATGCATGTAGCATTGTTCATAGGAATGTTACATTGAAACTGTGTGTTAAAAGCTATCCATTTAGCATATTCATTTTGAAGGCAGCCATCTTGCTGAACTGTCTTATTAGATGTAGTGGTATGTGCATATCAAAAATCAAGTTGTATGGGACTTCCCTGGTGGCGCAGTGGTTAAGAATCCGCCTGCCAATGCAGGGGACACGGGTTCGATCCCTGGTCTGGGAGGATCCCACATGCTGCGGAGCAACTAAGCCTGTGTGCCTCAACTACTGAGCCTGTGCTCTAGAGCCCATGAGCCACAACTACTGAGCCTGTGTGCCACAGCTACTGAAGCTTGCATGCCTGGAGACTGTGCTCCGCAACAGGAGAGGCCACCGCAGTGAGAAGCCCGCACACCGCAACGAAGAGTAGGCCCTGCGTGCCACACTACAGAAAGCCCGTGCGCAGCAATGAAGACCCAACTCAACCATAAATAAATAAATAAATTTGATTTGTACACCTTAAATATATGGAATTTTTATTCATCTGTTACACTTCAATAAAGCTGAAAAAAGTGGAAACCTATAATAGATAAAAAGAAAGAAAGAAGGTTAGATGTAATGGGTGTGTATAAATTCTCTTGGATTTGTCAGGGATAAATCCATCACCTGTATATAATGATGAACTGGACCATCAAAGCAATTTTCTTATGGACAAGCAATATTCTGTTAGGAAATAAATGTATACAAGGGCCCAATTCCCAGTATCAATAAAAAATATAAAAATGCCCAGGAATAAGTACAGAATTTTACTGAGAGATATAAAAGACAACTTGATTAAAATGGAGCCAGATGTCATGTATATGGATAGGAAGATTTACTATCATATAGATATGTTTTCTCTCTTATCAATCCAGGCATTTAATATTAATCAGTCAGAATTATACAAGTTGTTTTGGGTCTTTTGGAGGGATTGGGGGTAGTTGTTTCTCTTAATTTGAGAAAATTCTTCTTGAGTTTATCTAAGAGAATAAACATGGGAAGACAGTTTTTTAAATTAAAAGAAGACAAATGTGAGGGGACTCGTCCTACCAAATATTTAAATATATTACAAAGCTACAATAATTAAAACAGTTTAGATCATGCACAGGAATAGGCAAATAGATAACTGCAGTAGAATAGAAAGTTGAACAAAAAAATTTATATAACTATATATGTGATAACGTTGGATTTAAAGTTGGTGATGGGTGGAATATTTACAAACAGGGTTTTGTTAAAAATGGCTAATCAACCAGGAAGAAAATATATCTTATACCATATGCCAAAATTCCAGGTGGATTTACGAACAAAATTACTGAAAGAAAATATTGGTTTATTTATTTATTGTACATTTGTTGAGTGCGTCTTATGTGCCAGGGCACATATTCCCCATATTATGGACGGTGATACGTGAATGATTATATTGTGGGTTGGGTTAATTTTATGATGGTAATTTCTACAGCTGTTTAAGTGCTGTTGTGGAAAAAATATTTAATGATTTGAAAAATATACACATTATATTAAGTGAAAGAGCAGGTTACCATATAGTATCTATAGTTTGATCTTGCTTTTATAAAAAAATAAATTTAAAAACTATATAAGGAAAGATATGCATAGAACAAAGCCTAGAAAGATAGTCACCAAAATGTTATGAGTGCTGAAAGTTGCCTTCAGTTTCTTCGTGCTTTTCTGTGTTATAAGTTTCCTGCAATGAATATTTTATCACAATGACATATTAAGAACAAAAAATATTCTTAATGAATTAAGATGAATTATGCTTTGAAATTAAGGAAAAAATCCTATTTCCATTATACTTTTATTGATTAACAACAATTTCTTAATACCATAATATATCCAGTGAGTGTTCAAATTTCCAATTATCTCATAAATGTAATATTTTTTAAATTTACAGTTTATTTGAATCAGGATCCAAATAACTTGTACATATTGGATTAGTTGCCTCAAGTATTTTTTTAGTCTTTAGGTTTTACCTCCATCTCGTCTTTTTTACTCCCTTGTAATTTATTTGTAACTTGTTTATTTGTAATGTATTCATTTCATATGTTCCTCTGTCCTCCATATTTCCTATAAGTTGGAACTTGGATCCAGTGGCTTGATTTGATTCAGGTTTGATGTTTTCTTGGCAAAATGGCAGCATAGGTATTGGTGTGTCTTCCATTAGCAAGCACATGATGTCTGGTTGTCTCTCTTATTGTGTTGTTAGCAAGTGTTGATGATTAATGCCTTGATCAGTTAATTAGAAAATATATGTTTTTTTTGTTTTCTGCGGTACGCGGGCCTCTCACTGTTGTGGCCTCTCCCGTTGTGGAGCACAGGCTCCGGACGCGCAGGCTCAGCGGCCATGGCTTACGGGCCCAGCCGCTCCACGGCATGTGGGATCCTCCCGGACCGGGGCACGAACCCGCGTCCCCTGCATCGGCAGGCGGACTCCCAACCACTGCGCCACCAGGGAAGCCCCCCAAAATATATGTTTTAATGGATAAAACTATTTTTATAACAATCTGGATGCAGCAGTGGGCTGAACTCTTTGAACTGGTGTCATGTCTATGTCTGCTGGCACTCTGGAATTCTCCCAGTCTATCAGTGATATAAAACAATTGCACATGGGATCTGGAAACAGACTTTTGAAGCTCCAAGGGGCCTAAACAAATCTCTGATATACAGCACTGTTAGCTTGAAGGATGGCTTCTTTTAGAAAGCTTTGCTTCATAAATAGTAGAATGGAAATATTGTTCCAATTTGCTGGCAGCTGGCACCACATCCTGTGCCATGCACAAATATTCATCACCCACCCATAGATCCCATCTTTGATATTTACCAAAGCAACAGGGCGTCCTTCACTCAATCACAAATTCTGTTGTTATTTGCACAATTATCTGGAAAGGAGCAGCAACCTCGGAGCCTGGGGAGCCAGTTCATTATCCTGATGATTCTTGTCTTTGCTGGTGCTCAGCAGTTCAGGGGACAGATGGGAGCCAGGGAAGCCAGATGCCTGCACGATTCCACTCCTGGCTTGCTCCAGCCCTCGTTGGAGCCCTCATTTTAGGAGGGAAGGGGCAGAGACTGAGCTTGGGGAAGGGGAAGATACCATGACACCTGACACGCTGGACATTTTAACTCCATCCTGCTGGATCCTAGGGGTCATGTCCAGCAGAGTGTGAGACTGAAGCCACTGCCACAGTGGGGTGGGATTAGGGAGGAGGACGATTGTCTCATCTCCTGGAAGGGCAGGATGGAGTGTTTAGCAATGCAGAAAAGTCAAATGCTTGCAGCCTGCCTGTCTGCAGAAACAGATGGTTTGGGCACTCAGGCAGCCCCAACCTGGTCTCCCCAAGCTGCCGAAGAGTAAGCTGGTGCCATCTGGGGGTTGGGGAGCTAAGACCAGATCTCCTCTGGAAAGGTTAGAACAGCAACCAGTTCCTAGAGATATGATTCACACCGAGATGGGCTGGGCACAGAACTGGTACCAAGTAGGCTAGGGGGCCTGATAACTCACCCGGTGGCACCTCCCCTCTGCCGTCTTCCTTGCATCTGATGACTGACTGTCCCTCTAACAGTTGTTTTCAGTGCTAAACTCTGGGAATGTGGGCTGTTGGGTGGGAAACCCTTGTTCAAGACAAGGCCATGCTGATGCGGGGTTGGGGTCTCTCCCGTGTCCAGGTCTACGATGGCAACAACAACTCCGCCCGTTTGCTGGGGGCGTTCAGCCGCTCGGAGATGCTGGGGGTGACACTGAACAGCACGTCCAGCGGCCTGTGGCTTGACTTCATTTCTGACGCTGAGAATACCAGCAAGGGCTTTGAGCTGCAGTTTTCCAGTGAGTCTTTCTCTCATCTGAGCGGACAGCGAAATCGGGCTTTCCCCGGTTCCACACACAGAGAGGCTGGGCTCTGGGACATCACCCATCAGTTAGTGGGTTTGATTTTCTCTAACTGGTGCACGCTTAGCTGACTGTTTCCCCTAAGACATTGTGCCCGTGATCTGGATAAGCTGCCACTTGGCGTACAGCTCCATGGTTACACCTGTGAGTAACTTACCTGAGAGTCACAGCACACCTTTGATCACTAATCGCCATTTACTCACTAAAAACAGTAAGCGCTGAGCCTTTGAATTAAAGCAACCAAAGATAGCCTCTCCTCATGGTGACATTTATAAACTAACGTTCAGCTACAGTCAGATGTAAAAAATGCAAGCACTAATGTATAATTATGTTCTTTTTTACTACTCCCTAAAGAGTCGAGGCTTGATTCTTTCCCTTTTTTCCTGATTTTAACTTTCTCCTTTACTCCTGAGATTTCAAAAACAGAAAGCACGGACGTTCGTACACAGCCCCAGAGTACTTGGGATGACATCTCCATACTTCGGCTTCACAGCTATTTTATTCATTTATTTGAGCTTCTACTTGCCCAGCAGCTACAGAGAAATGTGCTTTTGTAGACTATTTTAAAAGCCAGTGAATATCCATCAACTGATAAATGGATAAGTAAAATGGGACATGTCCCTCCACACAATGGGATATTATTTGGCCATAGAAAAGGATCCAGTTCTGATCCATGCTACAATGTGGGTGACCCTTGGACACATGATGAGAAGTGAAAGAAGCCTGTCACAGTACATGTGGACACATGTATTGCATGAACCATTTATATGAACTGTCCAGAAGAGGCAAATCCATAGAGACAGAAGGAAATTTGTTAGTTGCCTGGGGATGAGGGAGTTGAGGGAAAATCACCTTCTCTTTGAGGTGATGAAAATGTCCTAAAGTCGATTGCAATGTTAATTGCGCAACTCTGTGAATAAGCTAAAAGACACTGAATTATATACTTTAGTTGGGGGAGTGTTTAGTATGTAAGTTATGTCTCAATAAAGCTGTTAAAATTTAAAAACCAATGAGTCTACTCAAGATTCCTCTTGCCCGGGTGTGTAGGGTCTGTGCTGTTACAGCAGGCACATCAGTGGAAGAGGACTGAACAGAGTCATATTCAAATTCCGTTTCTATCATCTGAGATTGTGTGACTTTGGAACAATTTGTGTGACCTTCCAGAGTCAATATTCTCAGCTGTGCAATGCACAGTTACGCCTCCCGGTAAGACCTGTGAATAACAAGCGAGAGCTAACACAGGTGGCCACCGTGCCCTAGGAGCTCTGTGTAAGCTCACAGAGGTCTCCTTCTCCAGGCTCGTTCAATAGAGTGTATTTAAGCAGGACAAAATTGAGCTTTGAAACATACATTTAGAGTGACTTTTCCGTAGTACACTCTCCCATCAGACTGTCTCAGTTAACAAAATGGGAAGAGCAGCTCCCGCTACCAAAATGCTATGGGGTCAAACCAACAAAAAAAAATAGGAAATCCGGACTCTATACCTGAAAACTATTAAAAGCTGTCCTGGGAGAAACAACTGAAGTCATTTACATATAGCAACAGGGAGAACGAACACTCCGTAACAGACCCTCACCTGAGCACAGCCATGTGACACCCCGAGGGGCGCCTCCATCAGGACCCAGGGGCATGTGCCGGGTGGCTTCCTTAAGGATGCGTGCTCTTGGTGGGGGGGTGGGGAGGGCGGGGTGTGGTTTGTGCCATGGCACGTCTTGATCACCCTTATCTCTTCTCTCGTCCCCAGGTTTTGAACTCATCAAATGTGAAGACCCAGGAACCCCCCAGTTTGGCTACAAGGTTCGCGATGGAGGCCATTTCGCAGGGAGCTCTGTGTCCTTCGGCTGTGACCCTGGGTACAGCCTGCGGGGCAGTGAGGCGCTGCTGTGTCTGAGCGGGGAGCGCAGGACCTGGGATCGGCCGCTCCCCACTTGTGTCGGTAGGAGGCCTCTTGCTCTTCAGGTGACCCCCCTCGGGTGTCCCCTAATCCCGAGTACCCAGCTCTGGTCTCATTAAGGGTCTCCCGTTGGCCCTCACACTCCAGGGCCTTGGGGCCGTCTGAACCGTCCTGTTCACCAGAGTCATGGCTGGCCCTGCCCACCCTTCCGCATGTCCTCACTCTCACAGCTTATTACACCCGCACGACAGCAAGGCCAGGCGGTGGCTTGCCACTGTCATACATTTAGCAAGCGGGACGAGAGCCAGCTCATGCCCTCAGAATCGTAATCCTCTCCTGGCGGAGAGGTGGGAGGGTCAGTTAGAAGGAAGAGGTGGACTTTTTGCCTGGTTCCAGGGGTTCCTTCAACACCAAGTCTCAGATGAGTCTCCAGCTCACTCTGGCCTCAGTTTCCCCATAGGCAAAATGGGGCTCATGCTTCCTTTTCCGGAATGTTGAAAGAGTCAGGTCATGAACTAACATCTCTCTTGTTCTTGAGAGTCAGATCATGAGCTAGCATCTAACTCACACTTAGGAAAGAATAAGATAATGAACTAGCACCTTCTTAAGCTTGTGGTGCTTCCAGCATGTCAGCACAGGCTCTCTGGAAGCTTCATCCCTGTGTCACAGGACAAGAGAAGCCTGGTCCAAGGCAGAAGTGGGAAATAGGCAACACCCGTCCGTCTGTCTGTGTGGCCTTTCCACCTCTCACCCCCCGCCTCACTGCACGTGTGACCCTCCCTGCTGACCAGGATTCCACCACGCTGCTTTGTCCTGTATCCCCAGCCCCGAACACCAGACCTTTCCCTCTCTCCATCTCCTGCCCCATGGCTCACAACCTCAGCATGGCTGTGCAGCTCTGGTTAATCTTATAAGGACAAACCATCCACCGGGAGAACGTTTAAGTGCCTACTAAGCGCCACCTGCCAGGATCCTCGCAGGTGCACGTTTGGGTATGTGCAGAGACAGAGAAATAAAAAAGGAGAGAATAAAGCATTCTTCCTGCCCTTGGGGAGTCCATACCCTGGCAAGGAGAAGAGACACATAAACAGATCATTATAATACAAGATAAGCACTGTAAAAAGAGTAAGTGCCAAAGTGTTGAGGGAATACGAGAAAGTTGTGTCTAGGAGGTGATATTTCAATTGAGACTTGAAAGGATGGGTAGACATCACCCACAGGAGGGGAGGTAAGAGCGATGTTCTTTTACCCCAGGCGACTACATGTTAACAGGACCTTCGACATTGCTACCCAACAGAGGGTCTAAAGGTGAGGATTTCAAACCTGACTGTGGATAGATCAGGATAGTGGCCTATAGAATCTTCCTCTGTCTGCTCAAGTAGACCTCATCCACAGGCATGCCCCGTCCCTTCCTCCTTGCTTCCCTGTTTTTGTCCCCTTGTTTCATTCGTGTGCCAGGCTCTCTGCCAGGCACTGGGGATACCGGGAAAAGCAGATCCCAGGCCAGTGAGGGAGACACAGACATAAACAGACAACAGTGTGATGCCATAGGCAAGCCGAAGCAAACGGAATGTGAAGGAGGTGATGGTTCACACCGCAAGACAATTATTTGCTTTGCAAAAAGCTCCACCGTAAGGTTCTTCTGAGTATCTCATCTGCCAGTTGGACCAAACTTAGAGAATCCACTCAAGCAGTGCTAGTGAGGGTACTTACACTTCGAACCTCAGAGGGCTTCCCCACCGAGATTCCCTCAGGCCCCACGAAGGGGAGGGAGGCTGTGTATTTGGGATTACGTGTGTATAGTTTTACACATGTCATGTTGTGATGGACTTGATCGTGGTCTACCAGAAATGACTGCTACAGCTGAAACATCCAGCTGTTTTCTTTGTGGATGAGTGGATGCTACAGCCCAAACGAAGCAGCCAGGGCTGTAGGATGGGGATAAGGGAGAAGACCAGAAAGACGAGAGTCTTAGGGTCTTGTTGGTAAATCTGCTGCATGCCAGCCACCTGGCTCCTCCTGCCCCCCTGTCCGTCCCCAGATAAAGTGACCCCTGAGGAAAGAGCAGTCGTGTTCCCGAGGAAATGCTGCTGGTGCCCCTGCCTCCAAACACTTGCCTCTGGGAAGCAGAAGGGGCTGTTGCATCAGGAATACGGAAGGAAGCTACAGCGCAGGGGCAGGGATGATGTCCTGGCCCGTTTCTAGCTGCCTCTGCTATTTGTGGAGCCAGAAAGGCTTCCTCCCCACAACTTAACAGCTCATCCTCCTATCCACACCCTGCTCCCTGCTGCCGGCCTGTGCAGCCCGACATCTCATTCAGGTTGGCATCTCCCACCCCAACGTCAACACGGGGGTAGTTACGCAGGAAGAAAGGGCCCCGTCTCGTGCGCAGGCTTACTGCAGAGGGCCCCTTCCCCGCCCTGCCTTAGTGGGCCCGGGGCAAGCCATGGGGCCCAAGAGACACTTGATGGGTCCTTTGTAGCAACAGATGAAGGTCAGTCTCCCATGTGTGACTTTGATCCCCTCATCTCCTACTTCTAAGATCTTGCTTAATCAGATCTTTCCTAAAAAGCTTTGCAACAAATCTCTTCATCTTCTCTCATGCTCCCTTGATTCAGACCCTTCATAGTAACTCGCCTGGGAAGCAGTAAGCTTCTCTCGTTCATTTGATCATCCACACACCTGTTCATTCAATAAACACCTGCTAAAGCATCTGTGATGTGCCGAACACCATGCTAGGCACTTGATGTACAAATATAAGTAAGACAAGGTTCCTGCTACTGAGGAGTGAAGGAGGTAGATTTTAATAACCTGTCACACGTCCATGATAAAAACCAGTTCGTGTTATAATGGAGACACAAAAGAGGATAGTGTCAACTCGATGTGAGGAGGGGAGGGTGTCACAAAAGGTTTCATGGGGAAGATGTTGGCCGACTTGTCAGTCCAAGGAGAGGCCTGAAGAGGCCCAGTGTGCCTGGGCTTGTGGAGTTTATCACACTTGGCTGGACCAAGGGGTGCCAGGACGGGGCCAGAAAAGGCCAAAGGGAGCCTCTCTGGGGGGACTTGATGGGCTCTCCTAAGAAGCTTGGACTTCACTCTGGGAAGGAGGAAAGTAAGCAGTGATGTGGCCAGTTTGTATTTTAGAAAGGTCCTTCTGGTGGCACTGCTGGGGGGGGGGGGGACGCAACTCTGCCACCCTAGAGATGGTAAGGGCCTGAGCCACGACTCTAACAGTGGGGGCAGAGGGGGGGCAGGTGTGAAAAGCATCCTCAGGCCCTGGGGCTCAGAGGCAGATTAGACGTGGGGAGGAAGAAGGCCAGCCTCTGACCTGGAGGGCTGCTCTGACGCGGAGATGGACCTCTTCACTGGTGCCCTGCCTCTAGGTCCACCCCTCTGCACCCCTTCACACTGCCACAGGAGCATTCTCTCTAATGTGTAAAGGGCACTAGCGTGTAAAGTGATCAATTTACTCTTGTGCATAAACACTGCGGTTCTGTGCAGTGCCCTTCGATGAACGATGCTCGCCCAGCTTTCCAGCCCTGCCTCCCTCCAGGCCCCATCTCATACCCCGTCCCCCAAGCTGCCATGCTGTTTCCCACCCCCAAGGAGGTTCGCAGTACTCTTCCCTGTCGGCCTCCGCAGCCTACGCCTCCCCCCCCCCCCCCCCCCCTCTCCCTGCCCTGCGCTGGAGGAAACCGATCACCTCCTCCTCTGTGCTGCCACTTGCCGTGAACGTGTGTCTGTCAGGGCGCAGGGCACACACTGTGGCCGCCTCTTCCTCCAGGTCTCCGGAGGAAGGACTCCACGCCTTGTGCTCCTGGCACGTGACACAGGCCCAGTTCCTGTCAGTGACGAGGTTCAAATGTCTGTGCCTTCTCAGCAGACCTCAAAGATCTGGTCACAGAGTGGGCCATCAGCCCTACCCCCAGGGACCGTTTCTGTAATAGCTTTAATGAGGTAGACTTCATGTACCATGCGGTTGGCCCATTTAAAGTGTACCATTCACTGCTTTTCAGTGTAGTCACAGGGTGGTACAACCATCGCCACAATCTAATTTTTGAACATCTTGTCTCCCCAGAAGGAACCCTATACCCATTAGCAATCCCTCCCACTGCCACTCCTCGTCAGGCCTTGGCAACTACAAATGTACTTTCTGTCTTTGTAGATTTGTCTGTTCTAGATACTTTATATAAATAGAAACACACAATATGTGGCTTTTTGCGCCTGGCTTCTCTAACACAGCATAACGTTTTCAAGATTGTGTTCATCCACGTGGTATCGTGTGTCAGTACCTCATTCTTTTTTACGATCAGGTAATATTCCATTGTACGGGTATACCACATTTGTGAATCTGTTCAACAGCTGATGGACATTTGGGTCATTTCCCTTTTTGGGATATTATGAATAATGCTGCAATGGTCATTCGTGTACAAGTTTTCATCTGAACATACGTCTTCGTTTCTCTTGAGTATGTATCCAAGAGCAAAACTGCTGGGGTCATAGGGCGACATTTTGAGGACCCACATAGGAAACTGTCTTCCAAAGCAGCTACACCATTTTGCACTCCCGCCAGCGATGTCTGAGGGCTCCAGTTTCTCCACATCCCCACCTACACGTTAGTCTGTCTTTTTGATTATAACCATCCTAGAGGTTATGAAGTGGGACCTCACTGTGGTTTTGATTTACATTTCCCTAATGACTAATGATGTTACACATCTTTTCCTGTGCTTCTGGGCCATTTTTATACTTTCTTTGCAGAAATGTCTGTTCAAAGGCTTTGCCAATTTTTTAACTGAACTCTGTCTTTTCATTGTTGAGCTGTAGGGGCTTTTGTAGATCCTGGATACAAGTCTCGTCCAAGGGCCTTTCTCTATGCTGCACTCAGCCACCTGGAATGAACAAGAGGGACCCTGGCACACAGGCCGGAGGAGCCAGTGGGTGGCCGCTGTGAGCACAGGTCACCCCCTGAAGCTCACTCTTCTGGGATTTCTTTCAGCCGAGTGTGGCGGGACAGTGAAAGGAGAGGAGTCGGGGCAAGTGCTGTCACCCGGGTATCCAGCTCCCTACGAGCACAACCTCAACTGCATCTGGACCATCGAAGCCAATGCCGGCTGCACCATCGGGTAAGTGCCAGGGCCAGCAGAGGAACCGTGGCCAGCTGTTCAGGGGAGTCATCACCAGTCCACCAGCCAGTGGCTGGCCCTGCCCACCTCACCTGGAGGCCCTGGTGAGCAACAGTGGTTGCTATGACCCCAGGCTCAGGCCGGGGCCCATGGAAAACCTGAAAAGGCCAGCCTCGGCATCACAGGGCTGCAATCCAAGTTCAGACAATTCACTGGCCTAGGCGGTACGGTGTTCACACAGCAGCTGAGGGCATAGGCGTGAGTCCCAGCCCAGCCGTTTGCCATTTGTAGGACTTTGGGTAAGTTTCTTCTCCTCTCCTTCTGTGGCGTATGGGTTATAATGTTGGCTTCTCGGGATAAAGCATCTAACTGAGACGCTGCAGGTAATATACTCAGCACAGTGCTGGAAACATAGTAAATATTTATTCTTGGCTCGGTGGTTATTTCTCTGATGGTAGTAAAGGTCAGTTTAGAACTGTATGACCCCAGGTTGCTTCCCTTTCTCAGTCTGAGTTTCTACATCTGTAAAATGAGAACAAAAATGCTTGTGATTTAGAGTTGTGGAAGCAATAGTCAGAAAAGCCCAGCATACTGTCAGGTACTGTGTACATATTCCCTCAAAATGTAGCTTCCTTTCCATGTACGTGCTTGACTAACAGGAAGTACTTTTTGGAGTTCCAAAGAGTCAGAGAAGAAAAGAGCTTTACCATTCATTGAGCACAGGGCCTGGCACACGTAATGTCTTATTAACTCTTCACAGTAGCCCTGGTAATACGAATAGTAAGCCCTAAAAATAAATAGACATTCTTATTACTCCCATCTTATAGATGAGAGAACTGAGATTCCATAGTGTGTCTAAGCTCACACAGTGAAGCAGAAAGCTGGGGCGTGGATCCAGGTCTTTCTGAATCTTCGCACCAGATGCTGCTGCTGGCAAACTGGGTTCAGAGGAGCTGTGAGGAAAAGAGGAGGTTGGCGTGGCAGGATGGATGAGGTATGGAAAGAGAATTGAACCAGGCAGTTGGAGCGGGAGTGGTCTGGCTGGCGTGGGGAATGCATGTGGAAAGGAATGGGAGACAGACTGGGTTAGGAAGCAGCCTGCTTACGGAGGATGCTAGATGCCAGTAAACAAGAGGGAGCTGTGGAAGGTTCCTAAGCAGGGTTATTTACAGTGGAGGGAGCTCATGGGAAGAAAACCAGTCAAAAATCTGTCGCAGTAATCCAGGGATGAACTGTTGAGACTTTGGAAGAGTGAGGAGTCAAGACAAGAGGCAGAAGTGTGGCTAGGAGAGGTTCCCTGCCCTGGCGAGGTCTCCGTGAAGGGGAACTGGCTGAACGGGTGTGTTGCTGCCAGAGATACAGCTGTTTGCACATTCGCTGATGCACACATGGTCTTAGACCCAGTCCGGTTAAAGAAATGTATGAAGTGTTTGCCGCGTGCAAGTTTTTGAGCTCGGCCCTGTGCAAAATGCGGTCAGCAGAGCTCTTGGGGGTTTTGTGTTAAATACAAAAATTCATCCCACACTGCTTCTGGAATCACTTTCTGGAAGCGTGCCCGATCAACTCACACTCTAACTAGAACCCTTGCGTGGCACCCATGCTCACAGGAGCTGAACATCTTATCCTGGTTTTCAAGGCTGTCAGGACTTCAACCCACCTCCCAACCTTATCTCCCACCACTTCTCTTCAGTGACAAAGCTGAATTGCTAGTGGCCCCTGTACATGTACTCATGGCCGTGCTCGGTGCCTTGGTTTCCACTGTGCCCTCCCCGGAATGCCCCCCTCCCTCCAAAGACTTAAGTCTACAACGCTCGCTCCCTCAAAGTCAAGTGCACATGTCAGCTCACCCAGGAAGTCTCCCCCAGTCCACTCGCAGGAGACTCCTAGGAGTCCTTTCTCCGCTTCTGCGTTCCCATTGCCCATGGCCTGTATTTCCTTTATGACACTGACCACTCTTCTCCTCCATTTATGCTCCTGCTTTAGCTCCCCAGCCAGAGCCACGCTCTCTGCCCGATTCATCTTCACAAGCCTCCTGGCTCTCAGCACAGTGGCAGAGGCTTAACAAGTGTCAAGTGTTGAATGAATGAATGAATGAAACAAGCAGGACCCAGATATAAAGGTAGTTTTATGACTAGCAGATCCATGAAGGTCCCTCAGTAAATAGTAAATGAACAATGAATTCATCACAGGTGTCTCCATATGCAAATCAGGAGGTTTTCCCACGTTCCCACCTTGCACGTTACTCGTTCATTCATTCGTTCCTCCATGTAATACCTGTCTGCTGAATACATGGCAGTGCCTGTGGGAGACACTGGCGTTGCCCAGATGAATAAGACCACGGCCGCTGTTGGCAAAGAGGAGATGTGCGTACACACAGAGCGAGGTGGTGAAAGGAGGGGGCAGGGGACTGAGCAGCTGGACAGGAGACCAGAGAGGCTATCCTGGAAATGAAAACACCAGAGTAAGTCATGTAGGATGGAGAGGAGTTGCCAGGTAGCCAAGGAAGAAGGCTGGCAGGACAGAAGGGCCTACTAAGCAGAAGAGGTGATGCAGGGTGTGCGGGCTTAAGGAGCTGGTCCCCATGGCTGGAGCATCACCTGAGATTTGGTGGAGGGATGGGCCATGGTGAGGGATGAAACCGGTGGAGCGGGCTGCATGCGGCCAGAGCACAGAGGACCGTGGCGGCCGTGATGCTGAGTTTGGCCCTGTCCTGGCAGCCTTGTGGAGAAGGGGACAGATGGGGTCTGGGACCCCAGTGAGGAGGAGGCCGTCTCCAGAGTGTTGTCGGGATGAGGAGACCTGAACCCTGCCAGTGGCGATGGGATGGAGAAGAAGGATGGAGAAGAAGGATGGAGAAGAAGGGATGAGTTCAGGAGACATTTAAGGAGTCACACCAGCCGGTCTCACTCGCCTCAAGAAATGTGGAAACAGATTTCTTCTGTTTCCCTATTTTTTGTTGTGCAACATACAATATGTAAAATAGAAAAGTCGAACGGTATGCCGAGCACCTGCTTACCTCCCACCTAGACTCAACTACTGTGAATATTTGCCCTCTTACTTTTTTTTCTCTCTGTCCCTTTTTTTTTTTTTTTTTTCATTTTTGGCTGAATCACACAAAGGTAACTGTAGACATCCTGATACTTCTTGCCTAAGTACTTGGGCGTGCATCTCCTCCATGACATAGTAACCTTAGCACACCCATGACATGCGACATCAGTCCCCGGGAATTCAGGTTTAGGAGAAGGGTGGGAGGAAAGCTGAGAGATCTCAGAGCGGCTGACAGGGAGAGCACAAGAATTCAGTGATGGCATTTCTGGGCAGACGTGAGGACTGTTATCACTTACAGGAATGATGCGTGTGGGGTGGGCTGCAGGGGAGAGCAGAGCATCCCTTCCTAGCCCTCAGGAAGAGAGGATCGAGACAAATAGAGGAAATATTCTCTCCAGAGATAGAAAGAACTATAGAGGGGGCCTGCTGGCTGTGTGTGTGAGGACCCTGAGGTGGGGAATGGCGGGGAGAGGATGAAAGTAACCTCAGCCCTCCATTGGGAAGGCTTCTTGGAGCCACACAACCTCAAAGGAGCTGATGCCACATGAGCAGAGGCTGCACGGAGAGTGGCCAAAAGATGGGGATGGAGTGATGGGGCACTTTCGCCTTCCTCCTGTGATCCCTCCACCCCAGGCTGCCGTGCCAGCCAGCGTCTGCAGTGTCCTCATGCACATCTGTACTCTAGCGTGTTCTCTCCCTCTCTCCTCTCTCTCCCTCACCGCCCCCCATATCCCGCCACCCCTCCCTGGAATCCCCAGCCACAAAGTTAAGGGAATTTGTAATCAGATAGAATTCAGACAAACACAAAAAAGCCCCTTTTGTGTTTCTGCCCTTATTCAGAGTAAGACTTAGTTATTATTTTTTAAGTGAGAATTTCTTTATGGAATTTTTCTTTATGAAAAAGAGATACTCGTTTTTAAAAATTCAAAGTACAAAGCATAAAGAAGTTTATAAAGTAGAAATCAAAAGTCCCCGTCGTCTTACTCTGTTCTGCCCTGCACACCCTATGTAAGATAGCCATTGACATCCATTTGTTCAACTTCCTCTTTTAGGTATTTTGTATGCCAGCGTCTACAGAAGGCAAATGCAATAAGCATGCTTGCTAAAACGAGATCACCTCTTTGAGTGGCTCAGTAACTCGCTTTTTGTTTTACCCTTTACTCATATATCATCATCTTATTCTCTCAGTCTATATAGATCAGCCTCATCCTGGTTGATGGTTACAGGGAATTCTGTTGTCTGTACAACCATAATTTATTTAACTACTTCCCTATTGATAAAGTGAATATTTTCAGTTTTTCACCCCAGTAAACATCCTTACACATGAATCTTTGAACAGTTGTCCAATGAGTTCCTTAGGATATGTTCTTAGAAGGCAAATTTTGATACATGGCCTCAAATTTCCCTCTAGCTATTGCAGCAATTTACACATCTACCAAAAGCCTGCTTCCCTACCCAGCATCTCTTTATGTTGTCAATCCTGGCAGTGTTAACCAGTTTGATGGGCAAGATGGTATTTAATTGCCTTTGCTGCTTCAAGCTCTTTGTGTATTTTTCTATGGGGGAGTTTATTTTTCCTCATATAGACTGTTCAGCTGGGTTTATTTCTAGTCTATAATTTGAGGTTAGATTTCTTTTCAACCTGAGTATTTAAGAATGTCTTAAAAGTTACTAAGTTATATATTTTGTATGATTTTAAAATCAGTTCCACTTTTACTGCATTGTGCCCTTGTTACTTTTTGAATTTTTTCTTACTTATGTTCTATGTATATTTGAAGAAAGGGAAAAGAGTTCAGGGATTTATACATTTCTTTTACATCCAATGTATTATGCTTTCTTTCAAATATATTATGCTTTTTATTGCTTTTTTTTATTTTTAACGCTTCCTATTTTTAGTTGATTTGATTTAATTTGCTCTGTTTCTCCTCTGGTGATTTGAAAGATCCATATCC